TAAGACACTCCTTTGTTTTAGGTATTACTAAGAAAGAAAAAAAAATCATTCAAACTGTGGCACATTGAGTAGAATAAACGTTTGTTTTAAACTCATTCAAAACATTAAGTATCTTTTAGACTTATTTAAATAAATTTCATTACGTGTCATAGTTATGTACATTTTTAAATGAAAATATGCAGAATCAATGCAAAGTAAAGCAAAATACAATGTTTCTAAAACACAGAGTATAGATCCAAGTCACTTTCCGTGCAGTGCTTGATGTCCGTGTTTGCCCACACTGTTGTCCTCTATGCCCCTAAGAGCATTGGTGACACAATCGTGCCCAGACTGCAATTTCTGTCTCTAGAACTTTCTTCTAAGCTATCAAAACTATTCTACCAATTTTGAAACTGGCACTTTATCTTACAGAAAAAAATCAATGAAAGGTTTTTAGACAATAACCAGGATTTATGATGCTCTGTCAAATAGTCATTATGATTTGTTCTCAAATAGTTTGCTAACTGAAAAGCCAAGGGATTACTGCTAGATGATCGTCATGCAACAAGATTACTACCTGCATAAGCAACGCTTCTATGTCATGGCTGCCACCTTTACCAGCCATTGTGAGACACTATCAATCACTCCATTTTCGTAAGTGTTAAAATGTGAGAAGTTATGTGCCTTACAAGGTCTGCAATACGAGACTGTTAATGCTAATAGCATTCCTTGAGTGACTAATATGTGTCAAATACTTATTATATTCCTCATGCGTATTATATAATTTAATCCTTAGTACAACCCTAAGCAGTAGATGTTATTATTTGAAAGTATAGATAATACAACTTGTTCCAAGGACAGATATCTAGTAAGTGGCAGATCTGGTGTTTAAACTTGGTTCTCTCCCATACCACAGCCTGCGTTTCTTCCATAGCTATCTGGTTATAAATATTTAAGCAGAAAACACCCGAAGAGGGGGGTCACTCAATCATAAAGAAAAAGATAATCTCTCCATCAGCAATTTTCTTTGAATAACAGATAGAGCAAAGAGCAATTGTGTGAACAAATGTCAGATTTATGTATCCATGAATTATCATTAAACTTTCAGAAAAGGAGAGAGATGAAACATTGTCTCCTATTTGAGGAAGAGGAAAAAAAACTGCTACATCAGCTGGAAGCTGTGATGACTGCTGAAGAAACATTTTCTGGAACATGCCATATGTCACACATACCCACTTTATTTCTCCCCAGTTAAACAAAAAAGTCTGCAATTTTCAAATAGAGAAAAGGTTCATCTATACTTAATGTATAATAAAGGGTGTATTTGGACAAAGGACAGTACATGTTTTATTTGCACTGGTTTTATTTTCATTAATTAAACATCCTTTTCACAAATATATGGATCTTTGTCTCACCAAAATCAGAAACCAGTATGAACAGGATGCACTGTTAGCGCTTAGCTTATTAATGTTAAACTATCTCCTATACTTTGAACCAAAGTAATTATTAAAAAACAAATAAACTGATTCTTCTGTGGAAAACTCTCTCCGTGTCTTCATGAAACACAAAATTTTTTTTTTCCATAAGCTATTTTTATGTGCATGTCGAGGCTTCAACATTCCTTCAAGAATTACTTTGTTGGCAGACTTGAAACAAAGTGGCTGGGCTAAGTATCATATTCTCCATGTTTGCACTCTTAGAAGAAAGCATAGGGAAAGAGCTCCTTGATATTGGCAATAATTTTTTGGCTGTGACACCAAAAACACAGGCAGCAAAAGCAAAAATGACATATGGGACTCCATCAAATTAAAAAGCTTTAGCATAGCAAAGGAAATCATCAACAAAATGCAAAGGCAACCTACAGAATGGGAGAAAATACATGCAAATCACATATATGATAAAGGGTTAATATCTAAAATACCTCCAAAGGAAACAGAATCAGTATCTTAAAGAAATATCTGTACTCCCATGTTTATTGCAGCATTATTCATAATAGCCAAGATATGGAAACAACCTAGGGGCCCATTGATGTATGAATAAAGAAAATGTAACATATATATTCCTTTGTAATATATGTACACATACATATATATACAAATAAACAAAAGATTATTATTCAGCCATAAAAAAGAAGGAAATCCTGCTATTTGCAACAACATGGATGAATCTGCAGGACACTATGGCTGAGTGAAATAAGCCAAATCTTTATTTGAAACACAAAGATTGTATGATCTCATTCATAATGTGAAATCTTAAAAAAATAGTAGAACTCATAGACTGGATATTGCCAGGGGCTGGGGGGTGGGGGAAATGGAGAGACATTGGCCAAAGATGAACAAGTTATAAGATGAAAAAGTTCTGGGATTCTAAGGTACAGCATGATGACGGTAGTTAAGAATACTATATTGTTTGCTTGAAATTTGCTAAGAGAGTAAATGTGATGTGTTTATCAATTTGTGGTGACTATTTCACACTGTATATGTGTATGAAATCTCATTGTACACTTGAAATATACACAGTTTTGTCAATTACACCTCAATAAAGGTGGAAAGATTTAAAAGCAAAAGATTTATAATTGTTGTTGATTTCTTCCCAAAATATATATTCAGAGAGAAAGAAATTTCCATAAGCTGTGTGTGTGTGTGTGTGTGCCTGTGTGTGATCAACTACACTTTTTAAAGGAAGTGGAACTGAACTATGAGATGTTACCTTTTTAATAGAACAGAAGATATTAAAAAAATATAAACAAAGTCAAACAATAGAAAAAACCTGGTACTATCAAGTATTCTATTTTTATGCATTCCACAGACATGCTAATAACAAGGCAGAATCCATTTTAATTTAAGGGAGATCTAAATTGTATTGAAATATGTTAAGGTAAACATTCTGGATGATAGAGTTTAATCTTATATCGGCTAATAAAAATTGCATTTGGGGCATTTTAAAATTCATATGCTCATCTAATGTTTACTCTTCCTTATAGGTAACTCATTTAGTTGACTGATGGACATACAGATATAGCAATGTATGTAATGCTTAACAAGTAGTGATATGATAACGAAGAATATCACAAACTCTGAATATCAATACTGAATCAACAACAGTTAGCCCAATCTGTGTACCTTATAAATGAAAACAAGAGCACTGTTCTACAATAACCTCAGCTTTATGAATAAACTATAAGTCTTCTGAAAACACAAGCTGTAAAAGATTCAGTGTTAAGTATTGTGTCCTTGGGTATTCATAAATATTTTTGTGCACATTGCCTATAAATGTGTCTATATTTTTAAAAAATATATTTCAAGTGTTCTAATATGCAGAGGAAGTCTGCATTTTTCCATAGTACATACATAAAAAAGAAGCTTTAGAATAAAACCATTTTTTCTCTTTTTGTGTAAGTGCATTGCATTTTTAATGTAGACTACTAGCCCACCCCCAAATCTCTCCAAGCTGTATGAATATTATACAGCTTTTCTATTTCTACATATAAAAGTATCAAACATGCAAACCCTATGTTATGTGGAGTTTTGATACCAACCTGAGTCCATGTGCCAATAGCAATCACATCACCTGGGAGTTTGTGAGAAATGCAGAATTTCACGTCCCACCCCAGACCTACTAAATGAGGATCTGCATTTTTAATAAGATCCCCCAGGTTACTCTCTTACACATAAAGTTTAAAAAGCTCTGATACTTTACGATACTTAATTGATTGGTCTAATTTTCTATAAATTAACCATATCTAAACAACTACTATGTAAGTAAGCATTCCATGTGTATCCTTTATTTTTGTGATATTTAAGATTTAGTGTGTAACAAAATCACCAAGGGAACTTGTTAAAAACATAGATTTTCAAGTTTTTCCCCAGAGTTTAGAATTCAGTAGGTCTGGGGTCAAGCCTGGTTTCCCCGAACAGTTACTCCCCTGAACAGAATTAAAGTTAGTGATAATATCAGTTCTTGTTGACAGCTCCAAATCATAGCAAAATACCTAACACACAAGAGAGTCACATGCAAATTGTCTCTGTTAAGTTCTGAAAATGTTTCAAACTTTTTCTGCAACCATTAATCGTAGAATCAAAAATGTGGTGTCAAATGGGCCTGGTTCCGTTCATGGAACCCGATGAAATCATTCTCCCTCAGCAACTTCCCCCACCCATCTCCTAGCCCCAAGGAAGATCATTATCTCAGCCAAAGGATAAGTCATTTACTGGCGACCTTAAGAAGTAGGACTCCACTGGAATTGACTACTTCTTGTATTAGGAAAAAAGACGAATAAATTCTGCAAAGTACTGACTATACTCTCTAGGGGTCCCAAACACAAATGCATCCAAGAGCCATCAGGTGACCAATGGGAGAAACCAGGACTGTGATACCCTAATTGCAGACATTCAAGTTCAAAACACAAAAACCTTCCACAAGGACAAACAAGAACCTCTCTGAGGGCAGCATTCAGCCCCTGACCTGCCAGTTTCCAGTATCTGCACTAGTATGGTTTTTCTCATTAATTTTCTGGCGACCTATTGAAGGGCATATTTTTATTATTAATTTGCTCATATGGCTTATTTGGGGACTTTGGGGAACTTTGTTGTAATTTGGATTTTACTAGCAGCACCAAAACATGGTGATATACCAGGTTTCTAATCTATATCAGGCTGCTGAAGCCCAGGGAGTTTTTAAAGACAGTAAATACGTTATAGCCATAATCTAGGGGTTTGCACAGTCCTATTTTTTTCTATCAAGTTTTATCACAGAGCCTACAGATGTTCAGTTTATATTCTTGTATACTACACTATATACCATCTCTGGAGAAATAACAATTAGAAATTTGGAGGAGTGCTTGTCTTCATCTGACCTGTTACTGCTTTATTACGGTAAGCATAATAAATAGTGCTAAATTGACTTCACGGCTTTGCTTTTGCCTGATTATGAAAGATTTCAGATGTCCCAAAACATTACCATTTCCAAATTTTACCTAGAATTATCCTTATACTACAATTTGTAAAATGAAAACAGAGTTGTTCACATTATCAATATGCACTTTTATTTTAAATACCAGCACAGTAGACACAATGACACCACGGGACTATTACCTCAATAATACTGAGAACATTCCTTGGCTTATGATTTACGTACATTGTTTTATCTGGAACTATTTTTAAATATTACCATAAGATATACTGTAAAACACAAATCTTAAATATACCAGTTGCAAACATAATGTGTTTAGTTACTATTTTGCATATGAAATGATTTAAAGTTCCTCAAAATCATGTCCACTTGTGTTCATTGTTTCAGGATGCATGACTCGGCCCATGAATAGGACTGTACCTGCATTGGGTTGGAAGTGAACAAAACAGGGTGTGAACAAAAAAATGGGATGTTTACTTTCCTTCTTGCTTACAATTAGCAGTATTCTAAAAATAAAAATATAAATAATTCTCTTTTTAAAAAATCATTTGAATGTTAGAAATTATCTGATAAGTAATGTGGAAAAAATGCTCTCAATTTTAAAAAAGTTATCTCTTTTTGGCCTATAAATAAAGTTCTGTTCTCATAACAGACTTACCTGTTCTCCTGTTCCTGATAAGAAAGAAAAATGGATGGTCGACAATAACTTGAGGGTACAGCACAGCCATCCTACTAATTGCAATCATTCCTACAGTGCAGGGAGAAAGCAATTACATGTCTGTGGATGTGCAGAGACTAATGAGTAATTTCTCCAAGACCATCTACATTTAATGCAAAGGCAACAATTTACAGGAAACAAAATTTTAAAGACTTTAAGAGAAAAAATTGTAAAGGTGGTAACATTTCTACTTGATCTTTAAACACACAACACACACACAACACACACACAGTTTCCTACCTCCATTCCACCAAAAATACTAGAAATATTTATTCTGCCTCTTACAAAATTTTTATTCTCAGTTTCAGATAAATACATATGTCTTTACTAAAATGACCTTTGAGCTAAGGAAAGGGGGAGAATTAACAAACACCCCAAACAAAAAACCAAGTTTCCTTATATTCCCAAATCATTATTTCTTTTTGCGTAAAATGGGGATTTTTACACAGCAAGTCACCAGACTTCGAGTGACCAGAATGGTCGTGATGAAAGGGAAAATTCAGCAGTAAGAGAAGCATGATGTTTCCTACAGCTGGGAAACTGCATTCCCCTGAGATCCTTATTATGGGATAATCATTTTATACTTGCTGCAGGGTGATTCATTGTCAGGAAAAGGTCAAGATTAAATTATGTAAGATTTTCAGCTTTCATGATGCCCCAAGACCACTGTGTTTCTATTTCCTCCTGAAAACACTGTTTTAACTGTTGATATCCTTTTAGTGGACAAATTTATGCAGAAGTTAAAAAAAAAAGATAGTTTACATTCTACCAGAGGAAGGAAAAATCCTACTAAAATTTGAACATAGCAGTTGAACATGAGATTGAAACAGATCCAAAAAAAAAAAATCATTGGAAAAAATCATTCTCATTTAACTGGGGAAATCAAAACATTCAGAATAATCAAGGACATTTAACATTTTGCTTTGAACACATGATTTAGGTCAAAATTTTAGAATTATTTATTTAAAATTATTTTATCAGCATTATTCAGTTAAAATTATTTATTACATCTTGTTTATGTGTGTGCTTTTAAAAAATCAAAACTTTTAACAAAATTAAGAATTAGTTTCCAGGGGTGCCTGGGTGGCTCAGTCGGTGAAGTGTCTGCCTTCGGCTCAGGTCATGATCTCAGGGTCCGGGGATCGAGCCCCGTTGGGCTCCCTGCTCAGGGGGCAGTCTGCTTCTCCCTCTCTGTTTGCCCCCCCCCCTTGTGTTCTCTCTCTATATATCTCAAATAAATAAATAAAATCTTAAAAAAAAAAGAACTAGTTTCCACAAGTAATTAGGTAAGAAGAAGAATGTTTAAATGGGCGACAAGAAAATACTTAAAATATTTAAACAGGCAGCGCAGCAGGGAAATCTATTCCACAGAGCCACCAGTGTCCTCCTGCCTCTCATTAGATATGGGAGTTACTCTGTATCGGGGCACTGCAGTTAAGTGCATGCTTCATATTCTATTTAGAAAATTCTAGCTGGTTCAGCATTAGCTTGATTTCTAAGTTAGAGCAGAGTCAGGTTTTTTTTTTTTTTGTTTTTGTTTTAGCTTGGTTCTAAAAATGACCCCTACTCTTCACCCAAGATTGTTTTAAAAATACAAATCAAAAAAAGGTGAGAAGATTGTAGAAAATTATAATTTGGCACCTGAGGTTGCAGCAGCTTCTGAGCCTTCTTCATTAACCTCGATGAAGGACTTGTGAATTGCTTTGGAAAGGAAAATCTCCTTGTTATCTGCAAAAGAAAAAAAGAGAGAAAAGAAGCATTTCTTCAGTATCAGAAATAGAGAAGCATTTTACCCTTTATTTAAACAGCTTTGGAAAATATGAGTGACTTAAGGGACTGATATAAAAAGAAGCGATAATGTTGTTAGATTATATTATGATTTCAGAGAAGCCTTGAAGATGTGTTTTCTGATTTGTCCTTATTTTATATTCTTTTGTTAATGTTTCCCTTCATTTTTATTGATAATTTTCCCATTATTTCTTATATTGCCAGAGAAAGCAGAAATGTGGCTCTGTTTTTAATAGCAACTTCAAATTAGTTCATAACTCAAGATAAAAACATTTCACACATTGCACTCTAATCTGAAATTTTAAAGCACAAAATTAAAACAGGTAGAAATCCACATATAATCAGAATAAGACATTTTAAAAATCTGATCTCTAATTACTGTGATAATAGAAATATCCTTGGCAAAGAAAAACAAAATTGACTCCTAGATTGTAGAAATGTGAATATAAAAGAGTTACTTTCCATTCCAGTTAATTGGCTTATTTAAGTATTCACAAACATGCTTTATCCTAAAGTCAGAGGAAAGAACACATTTTCAGTGTTAGGAGGGTTCTTTTTCCCTTAGAGTTGTCTTTCTATGTATGCTTACTTTTAAATGAATGGCTATTATGGGCTGAATTGTGTTCTCTCTAAATTCATGTGTTGAAGTTCTAGCCCCCAAGACTTCAGAATATGACTGTATTTAGAGATAGAGTCTTAGGTTAAAATGAGGTCATTAGGACGGGCCCTAATCCAATATGACTGATGTCCTTATAAGAAGAGGAAATTCGGACACAGAGAGAGAGGGAAGACCATAACTGATGGCTAATTTTATGTGGCTGGGCCGGGATATCTGTACCCAGATATTTGGTGAAACTATTATTCTGGATGTTTTTTGCAAAAATGTTTTTTTGGATGAGATTAACATTTAAATTGGTGGACTTTGAGTAAAACAGATGAGGGCCTTATCCAATCAGTTGAAGGCTTTTTTTTTTTTTAAGATTTATTTATTTATTTGACAGATGGAGAGAGAACACAGGCAGGGGGAGCAGCAAGGAGAGGGAGAAGCAGACTCCCCGCTGAGCAGGGAGCCCCATCTGGGGCTCGATTGCAAAACCCTGGGATCATGACTTGAGCCAAAGGCAGCTGCTTAACCAACTGAGCCACACAGGCGCCCCCAGCTGAAGGCTTTAGAACAAAGACTGACCTCTAAGCAAAAAGGAATTGTGCCATTTGACTGCCTTTGGACTCTTCCCTCAATCTCCAGCTTGGCAGCCCACCCTGCAGATTTTAAATTTCTAAAGTCACAAGTGTGCCAGCCAGCTTCTTAAAGTAAATCTCTCAGTCTCATTGTCTCTTTCTCTGTAGAGATGTAGATATCTCTCTCTATATAAACACACACACACACACACACACACACACACATCCTGTTGGTCCTATTTATCTGGAGAACGTTAATACACTATAAAAAGACAGACATCTACAAGCCAAGGAGAGAGGCCTGAGAAGATACCAAGCCTGAAGACATCTTGATCTCAGATGTCCAGCCCCCAGAATCGTGAGAAAACAAGTATCTGTTTCCAAGCCCCCCAGTCTGGGGGGGACTTTGTTATGGCAGCGCGAGCAAACTATGCAATAGCTTTCAGCGATGAGTTTCCAACTTTTGTCCTCAGATTGAAACAAAATGAAGAGAAGATAGTTCAACTACATAAAAAGAAAAATAGCACAAGGAAGCAAGATACAAGATTATTCAAGTTTCTGCCACCACCACCCCCAGCCCCCTTTTCCCATTCCAGGAGGTCAAATTCAAATTTAAGATAACCTTGTTGCTGATGCACCATTCAGTAAAAGCACAGTGCATTTCTCATTAGGCTACTTAGTAAGACTTTGTCAGGAACCAAGTCCTATCCACAACATACATTTTCCTTTCAAGTTTTCAAAAACAGGTAATTATCTTATACTGATAGGGACTAATGTTCAACAACGTTTTTGGTACATCTGTTGCACAGCACCTGCTTATTTTGAATAAAGCTCCAAGACAACTGAGTGGCAACTCTGAATATACTTTTAATAGGGATATTACTTCCTCAGCTTATATTTAGTATTAAGATATAAGCATTGCATTTTGAAATAGTCTGTCTCACATATTATGATATTTTCTTCTAGAATGCATTTGATGACTAGAAGAAAAATAAAAAGCAATAGAGCTTTTACATTAAACAATTAAGTATAATTAGCTCCCTCAAATCCAGAAGACTAGTTTTTTTTTTTCAACAAATAAAAAAACAATATAAATTGCATTAAGTAACTAGTCAGATATATTTAGCTGGCAAAACAAATACATGAACTCCAAGACAGTAAAATATATTAACTATTTAGGAGTTAACTGATGCTGTGTTATTTTCAGATTCAGCTACCCATTTTGTTCAGTCTGCCAGTGAAGGTGGGGCCACGCACCAAGAGCCAGTATTATGGCCCTGAATGCAAGAGTGACAGAATGTAGTTCCTAAAGGGTAATGAGTGTCCATATTGCCAGCTAAGCCCTCTTTAAATATTCTGAGGGGAGTTCTCAAAGATAGAATGATACTTTAGCCATGTCAATTTGCACAGGAAAACCGCCTCCCAGCTCCTGAGCCTGATCTGTTGACTGCACTAGACACCTTGAAAGAAGGAATCTCATCCGTTCAACGCTGGCTTCTGCCACAAATGTACCCTCTTCCCCCAGTCATCTAACTTCCTATGTGCCCTCATTTGCCCCCACAAATGGTGAGAGGCTGGGGAGGAGGTGCCAAGGCACCATGGCAGATAGATCAAGAAAGCAAGAATGCTGAGCATTCTCCCACAGAGCTAGTTATTTAAAAGATCATGAAATGGACAAACCTTCAACAAGATTCACGAAGAAGAGAGATTACCCAAATAAACGATATTAAGACAAGAGAACATGTCTAAAGATAGAATTTTTAAAAATCACAAAAAATACTTTGTATAATTTCCTGCAGATAAATGTAAAACAGCTTATGAGGTATAACCTATTTACTATGAACTGCATGTATTTACAATACAAAAATTAGGGGCGCCTGGGTGGCTCAGTCGTTGGGCGTCTGCCTT